GGCCCCGCTGCTGGCGATGGAAAGGAACCAGTGACTTTGTCTGGGCGCTGAAAGGAGCTGCGAGGCCAGTCCAGATGGTTATTGTACGACTTGGGTGGTGGCAGGATGCGAGATGCAGGTTGGGCAGCTCGAGCAGCTCCCGGGAAAGCCGTGCCAAGCATTCAGCGCCGCGCTGGCAGCGCCGCTGGGGCGGCAGGACGTGGGCAGGCTCCGGGCACATTGCACAGCCCCGGGAATAAAGGGCTGCCAGAGGAGCTGGGGCCTTGTGCTGCACCCGCACACGGGCTCGGAATTCCAAACGCCAGGCAGCTCCTCGGAGGAAATGGGCTGGCAGAGAGTGCTGCAAATAATGGATTATAATCAGGAAATAGCTGGGTTCTGCTTGTGATGGGGCGAGTTAGAACATCTGTATTGACTCACCCTTCATGTGAGACTGGAAACGGAATAAAAGTTTGTAAAGCACCTCTGAGTTGCCCCATCTCTGGGTCAGAAAATCCAACCATCCTCAGAGCCCAGTGAGGGGAAGCCTCTCCCTGCTCCTGCCCAGGGGATGTCCCCCAGCTGCTGCTGTCATAGCTCCCCACTGGAAATCACAGAGGGTTTAATAGGAAAACACTGCAAACTTTGGCAAATAACAATGGCAGCAAGATGAAATTGTTGCATGTTTTGCCTGCAGGGATTTCCAAGTCCCTTTAAAGCTGGCACAGTTTTGTTCCTGCTTTTTCACAGAAAGACTTCAAGGAGACACCCAGAATTTCTGGGGTCCTGTTTGGGAATGTCCCCAGCCCCCTGCTACAGCCAAGAACAAATCCAGAGCAGCTGCTGGGCAGCCTGGGAGAAGTTCAAAACTTAAACTGGTCTTTAAATGCAGGGAGGGATAAATATGATCAATTTTAAATTTATTTGTGACTCTGCTGCTTCCAGTTTTGTGCTGGGGTCACACCCCATGGGTCAGCAGCTTTGGGGCCACTTTTTCTGGTTGTTTTCAAAGCAAATCTCTGCTTTTTGGGTGTGCTGTCCCAGCCAGCAGCACCCACCCTGCTGACATCTAACCTGAGTTCTGATGAAAGATGAAAAACCAGCTCCAGACCTCAGCCAGACTTCCCAAGGCTCCCTCCAGAGCTTTGTCTGACCCAATATAAGTTTAAGTCTGTGGCAGAGTCCAGAGAAAATCCCCATAAAGTCAGGTCATTATCTGGATGGGTGGGTAACTTAATCAGATTATTGATTTATTAAACACCATTCAGCTTCTGGGGGGTTCGGGGAGCTCTGGGGGTTTTGTTGTAAACACAAATCGCTGCTCAGACAAACCCAGCAGATTTCTTCCCTGCTCCTTAATTACAGCATTAATCTCACTCCCCACCAGTTTTCCTCAGAGTGGCCCTTGGAAACCACCAGGACAAAATCCAAAATCCTTTGGCTCTCACGGGGTCTCCAGCCCCAGGATCAGAGAGTGCAGCAGGACAGGGGCAGCTTCTGGAATAAAGTGACTTTTGTCCAGGCCAGTGTGAGGCTAGGTAGCAGCGTTAATGAATTAATTCAAATGCCTCACAAAAAGGCTGAAACAGGCTGAAAAGAAAGAGCAGCCATGCAGTGTTTTAGGGTCGCTGGTTTGGAGGTGAGTGTTGAGAATCACAGCTTTGGGAGCAGCACCTACATTTAAATAAAAAATCAAAAACCCCTCTCCTGTCTGTTCTTGGTGCTGGCAGCAATGGATGGGTCACGGTGGCTTTGTCCCTTCCAGGAGTGGCTGATAAACCCCAAAGTTCTGCTCGGGTCAATCCACACCTGGAGCCTCCTGAACAGACAAGAAAATGGGAGGGAAAAGGTACCTGGAGCAAAGGAAGTGTTTGGTTGTGAACTGAAGGGCTGAGAGGCAGGAGAAAGGAAGGAGATCCAAAGATGAGGCTCAGATCACCTTCTGCTCCTCAGGATTCTTGGACTTGAACCCCCCTTATAGCAGGTGGCATCTATTGGATTTTTAATAGCATTTCCATAAAGAGTTGGTTACAAAAGGACTTAAAATCAGATTTTTCACTTTAGGATGCCCAAAGATTGATGGAATTGTTCAATAGCAGCTGAGTTCTGCTTCCCTGGGCTCAGAGGGTGCTTTTCAAGTGACCCAAGTGTTAAAATCCTTCTCTTTTCCTTTGGCACTCCTCAAACAAACTCCAGAATGTTGCCCCTGCTCAGCTGCTCGGGGCAGCAAACTCCTCCAGGTGGGACATTCCCCATGGAGCTGGGCCTGTGCTGGCCCAGCAAAGCAGCCAGGAATGCTGCCAGGATCCTGGGCTGGGCACAGCAAACCCAGGGGAGCTGTTCCATGGGATCCCAGAACCCCAGACTGGGTTGGGCTGGGAGGGACCCCAAATCCCACCCAGTGCCACCCCTGCCATGGCAGGGACACCTCCCACTGTCCCCAGTGCCCAGCCTGGCCTTGGGCACTGCCAGGGATGCAGGGGCAGCCCCAGCTGCTCTGGGCACCCTGTGCCAGGGCTGCCATTCCTTTTCCCTTCACCCATTCCAGGCCAGGTTGGGTGGGGCTTGGAACGCCCTGGGACTGTGGAAGATGTCCCTGCCCATGGAACAAAGTGATCTTTGAGGTCCCTCCCCACCCAACACATTTTGGGATCCAATGGTTTTAAGTTCATGTTGGTTAGGAGCTAACATCTGCGGGGATGCATTATGGATTGTTATTCCAAATACCTGTGGAATTAAAACAAATAAATGCACAACGGGCTGCCCAGGGAGCTTTGCAGTGCCCAGCCCTGCAGGTGTCCCCTGCAGGTGGCACTGAGTGCTCTGGGCTGGGGACAAGGTGCCCATGGGGCACAGCTGGCACTGCATGGGCTGGCAGGGCTGGGCCAGCACCAGGGATTTGGGATCTGTGAACTGACACTCCTGCAATCACATGGAATTGTGGTCCCTGCTCTGGAGGGAAGCTGTTGCACCATGAGTGACAAGCCCCCGTTTATTTGTGCTATTTGAGACACCAGCTTATTTTTTTTTTCTGTGATTAAAAACCTCTGGGTCTGTTTAAATGCAGGATTTTGGGAAAGGAAAGGGACCCAAACCATTGGTGTTTGTCCCTGCAGAGTCTGAGTGTCCCTTTCCAATCCTCTCCCTGCAGGAATCTGCCCTGAGTTGGGTTTCTTATCATATCTGGGAAAATTAAAAAATGACAGCCTGAGGCCCCTTGGGCATCATCAGTGAGTGGGAATTGGGCCCCTCTTCTGGAAAGGAAAAATAAATGAGAAAAAGAGGAACCCCCAAAACCCAGCTCTCTCAATTGATTACACTTGGGAAAAAAAAATCTCCATGGGCTCCCAGACTGAAGCAAACTAAAGACATCTCCCAGCTCCTTGGTCTTTTTCCAAAGAAATTCCCTGCCTGACATATGTAGGATCAATGAAACAATACCATGGCAATAATTACCAGGGCAGTAATGAAATTGGAAGGAGAGAGACAGCAGGCAGAAGACCTTGAAACAAAATCTTCAGCCTTATTTAGCCTGGTTTGGGTTTGGTGGGGTTTTTTATGTCAGGTTTTTTTTTTTTTGGGTTTTTTTTTTGAGTGGCAAAGTAGCCCCACTTGTCAATCAGCTACCTCGCAGCTCTAATGGATTCTGGTGTTTAGGGGGTCAGCCCCGAATTTAATTTAACATCTTACAATACGCCCACATGGCCAGAAAATGTGGCCAGCTTGATAGGGTTCACTGAGCCAAAGGAGTGGGACCAAAACAGGGCATTAATGTATAGGGGAAGAATGGCTGCAATCAGTTCCCTTGTGAATTGGACACAGAACTTGGAGCTGAGGCAATTATCAGCCATCGGGGATTAATAGGGAAGTGTGAATGCCAAGCTGTATATGTTAGGGGCAGAATATGTTGCCTATAGAAAACAACAAAGAGCGTTTCTTACTATTAAGTGAGATTAAACGTAATGGCCTGATTTAATCACAAAGGCAGAATTAAATTCAGATGGCAACTTCAAAGTGGACACATGCACAGAGCCCACTGCATACATTTACATATAGCTGGCATAGCTTGGCTCCCAGCACAATGGGAGAAACTTTCTTTGGCCACTTAAACAATTTTCTATTCTTGGCTTTTTGTGAGTACTCACTGTATTTAGCCCGAAATTGCTGTTGGTTAATAAGATGGAGCTAAGAGTTATATTTATTCATGGAAGCCCTACTTTTTAATTCTTCCAAGGGGAAAGAAAAAAAAAAAGAAATTCCACAAAAAAAACCCCAACCAAACAAAAAGCACCCCAACACACCAAGCCCATGGCAAGGGGTCAGGGGGAGCAGCCAGGCTGGGATCCCTGAGAGCTGCTGGGCTGGGCTGGGCTGGGCTGGGCTGGGCTGGGCTGGGCTGCCCTGGGAGGTGGCACAGCTTCCACATCCCTGAGCTTCCCTGTCCCCTCTCCCAGGGTCCCTCTGTTCAGCCACATCCAGGTGGGACCACCACTCCCCATTCCCCCATTCCCTCCTTCCCCAGGAAAGGACCCCTGGGAGAGGAGCAGGGCCAGTGCCTGACTGACCCTGACTGACCCTGACTGACCCTGACCTGCTCTGCTCCTTCTGGTCCAGTCCTGCTGGGCCTGCCCCGCCCGTGGGAGCCACCACGGAGCTTCCCAAGAGCAGCAGGCCCTGCTGGACCCGGTGGCCCTGGGGTGACAGTCCCAGTTTGGCTTGTGGCAGCACATTCCTGCTCCCACACATTCCACAGGCCAGAGGAGGCTCCAGGATGGGCAGAGGGATGGAGCAGCTCTGCTGGGAGGAAAGGCTGGCACAGCTGGGATTGTTCACCTGCACAGGAGAAGCTTTGGGCTGAGCTCAGGGTGGCCTTGCAGGGCCTGCAGGAGCCCCAGGAAAGCTGGAGAGAGACAATTTCCAGGGGATGCAGGGACAGCACCCAGGGAATGGCTGCCAGTGCCAGAGGGCAGGGCTGGGTGGGATCTTGGCAATGAGGAATTGTTCCCTGGCAGGGTGGGCAGGGGCTGGCATGGAATTCCATCCCTGGATCCCTGGCAGTGCCCAAGGCCAGGCTGGGCACTGGGGACAGTGGGAGGTGTCCCTGCCATGCCAGGGGTGGCACTGGATGATCTTGAAGGTCCCTCCCAAGTCCAACCATTCCATGATTCCATGTGCCAAGCCCACTCAGCCTTGGAAGCTGGCTGGGAGCCTTCCTGCACACACAGAACTCCCCTCAAGGCTGGCACAGCAGGGTCTGAGCAGAGCCTGGCATGTGGAGAACGTGGGAATGAGTCTGGAATGGGAACAGCTCCTCAGAGCTCAGTGGCATTGGCAGAGTCTCAACAGCACCCTGAGCAGAAGGAATTTGGAGTGAAAAGGATCAGGAGTCACAGAGCCAACTGAGACCAGCCATACAACTCCCAATCCCAAAATTCCAGGGCTCCAGGTCAGCCCAGTGCAGCTCACAGGGAGAGGGGCAGCAGCTCCTTGTGCAGGCTCCAGCCCACCTCACCTGGGAGGGACCTTTAGGAATCCACTCTGAGGTGTAAAAGGTCCCCTCAGGAAGGTTGTTCCTCCTGCTAAAGGAATCCAAGGCAGCCTCAGAGCACAGAGCCTGGAGCTCAGCTCCATCCAAAAGTGCTGAGGTGGATCCCTGTGCTCTGCTCACTCACTGACCCTTGGGCTGCCTTCCCCGAGGATGGAAACGGAACAGATTTGTTCTCAGGGAGGATTTGCCCATGGCAAGGGAGCTCAGGCCTTGGCAGGGGCTGCCCAGGGAGCTTTGCAGTGCCCAGCCCTGCAGGTGTCCCCTGCAGGTGGCACTGAGTGCTCTGGGCTGGGGACAAGGTGCCCATGGGGCACAGCTGGCACTGCATGGGCTGGCAGGGCTGGGCCAGCCCCAGGGATTTGGGGATTTGGGGATTGTGTGACCAGAGAGAGCAGAGGAGAAGCTCCCTTCCCCCAGCTCCAGCAGAACCAGTGGCCTCCATGGGCAAGGACCCCACACCATGGCCATGATCAGCCCCAGGGCGGCTCCTCTGGAGTCTCCTCTTCCCTGAGCCCTGCTCTGTGTCCTTGGCTGCTTCCCTTGTCCCAGACCACCCTGATCCCTTCTCCTGAGTGCTCCCACCCCCAGAGCCCCCGGATAAACCCATCTGAGCTCCTGAGCTGACCAAACCTCCCCTGTGACTCCTGATGTGCTGCAGTGCAGGAGGATTTTCCAGGGTGTGTCTGATAATCCTCCCGCGAACAGCAGGAAAGGCACCAGAGCCTTCAGATAAACCTCCAGGAGGGGGATCCTGAAACCCCTGCTCCTGCTCCCATCCACTTTCCAGCTCCAATCTGCCGAGGGACATCTCAGGAAGGGAGGAACAGAGCCACAGCACCAACTTTTCCTCCTTTTCTTTGTCACTCAGTGAAGTATCGAGGGGGGAGGGACACTCTGGGGGGAGGTTTGGAAAATGCCCAGGAATTTCTGGGAGTGGCAGAGCCCCTCGGGCGCAGCATTCCCTTGGGATGGAAGCCGAGGAGGGGTGTGATGGTGCTCACAGGGGTCTGAGGATGAGGGAAGAGACGAGGATCTGACTCCATGATTCAGAAGGCTGATTTATTATTTTATCATATATATTATATTAAAACTATACTAAAAGAATAGAAGAAAGGATTTCATCAGAAGGCTGGCTAAGAATAGAACAGGAATGATAACAAAGGTTTGTGGCTCGGAGAGAGAGTCTGAGCCAGCTGGGCTGTGATTGGCCATTAATTAGAAACAAGCACATGAGCCCAATCCCAGATGCACCTGTTGCATTCCACAGCAGCAGATAACCATTGGTTGCATTTTGTTCCTGAGGCCTCTCAGCTTCTCAGGAGAGAAAAAAAAAAATCCTAAGGGAAGGATTTTCCATAAAATGTGTCTGCGACAGAGGGGAAACACCGCAGCCCCTCCCGGCAATCAGCTTTCCCTCCTTGCTCCCGTAACCCCGGCACGGCCGTGGCTCTGCCGGCTCTGAGGACACGGCCCAAATCCTCTCAGCGCCACTTGGAGAGCCGGGCACTCTGCGGGGACAAAGGGCTGGAGTGTCGCTGTCACAGGTCACTCCCCGCGAGCATCCCGAGAGCGCTCAAGAGGGAGGGACGGGCTGAGCAGGGCCAGAATACGGGATAAGGTCTTAACCCCGGCCCCGCACGGCGCATAAAACATCTCGAGTGCCACCGGGATAAAACATCTCGAGTGCCAGCGGGGCCGCCCGGGCTCCGGTCTCTGGGCAACTGCGGGGGAATGAATGAATGTCCCCGCTATGGCAACAGCGCTGCGGCCGGGCCGGCCCGGGAGGAAAGGTCAGGCTGGTCATTCCTCACCGCCTGTGATTCCCGAGCAGCCCCGGCCGTGATCCCGGGGCCGGGAGCGGTGCTGGAACCCGCCCGGTGCGGCCCGGCTGTGCTGAGCCCTCCTGAGCCCCCGCGGCTGCTCCGGCCCCGCAGCGCTGCCCGGGGCTCCGGGGCACCTGCAGCGTCCCCTTGTCCCGCACGGCATCGCCTTCCTCCCTGCATCTCCCTCCTCCCTGCATCGCCTCCCTGCATCGCCTCCCTGCATCGCCTTCCTCCTGCATCGCCTTCCTCCCTGCATCTCCCTCCTCCCTGCATCGCCTTCCTCCTGCATCGCCTCCCTGCATTGCCCTCCTCCCTGCATCGCCTCCCTGCATCTCCATCCTGCATCTCCCTCCTGCATCGCCTTCCTCCCTGCATCTCCATCCTGCATCTCCCTCCTGCATCGCCTTCCTCCCTGCATCTCCATCCTGCATCTCCCTCCTGCATCGCCTTCCTCCCTGCATCTCCATCCTGCATCTCCCTCCTGCATCGCCCTCCTCCCTGCATCTCCATCCTGCATCTCCTTCCTCCCTGCATCTCCTTCCTCCCTGCATCGCCTCCCTGCATCTCCATCCTGCATCTCCTTCCTCCCTGCATCTCCTTCCTCCCTGCATCTCCATCCTGCATCTCCTTCCTCCCTGCATCTCCTTCCTCCCTGCATCTCCTTCCTGCATCTCCTTCCTCCCTGCATCGCCTCCCTGCATCTCCATCCTGCATCTCCTTCCTCCCTGCATCTCCTTCCTCCCTGCATCTCCTCCCTGCATCTCCTCCCTGCATCTCCTTCCTCCCTGCATCTCCTCCCTGCACTGCCTTCCCCCACACCATGATGAGTATTCTGTCCCTGCCCCCACACCTGGGGGTTCTGTGCTCTCACACCTGGGGGTTCTGTGCCCCCACACCCGAGGGCTCTGTGCCCCCACACCCGAGGGCTCTGTGCCCCCACACCTGGGGGTTCTGTGCCCCCACACCTGGGGGTTCTGTGCTCTCACACCTGGGGGTTCTGTGCTCTCACACCTGAGGGTTCTGTGCCCCCACACCTGAGGGTTCTGTGCTCTCACACCTGAGGGCTCTGTCCCCACCACATCTGATTTAACCAGCCCAAAATGAACAGCCTTCCTCAAGCTGGCTGTGCTGAGCCATGTGGCACCCACAGGAGGTGCAAATGCAGCCACCCCTCCCTGCAGGTGCCCTAGAGTGACCGAGGGGACATGGGAGCCCTGAGGGAGGTGAGATAAATCCTGCCCTGTGCTCCCCTCCTGGCTCAAGGTGTGCCTTCCCTCCAGCTCCTGACACAGAAAACTTTCCCTTTGCTTTGGCCCAGCCAGGCTGGGATGTGAGGATGGGCAGGGTCCAACAAAAACCACCCCAGAATCGAGTCCCTGACACGATTTCAAGCCCCCTTCTGCTTGGTGCAGTTGGTTGCTGGGGTAGCTGGAGGAAAACAAGCTTCTAAAACCCTTCCCCATCCCAAAGCAGACCCCTAAACCTTCCCCATCCCAAAGCAGGCCCCTAAACCCTTCCCTATCCCAAAGCAGGCTCCTAAAACCCTCCCCATCCCAAAGCAGGGCCTAAACCCTCCCCATCCCAAAGCAGGGCCTAAACCCTCCCCATCCCAAAGCAGGGCCCTAAACCCTTCCCCATCCCAAAGCAGGGCCCTAAACCCTTCCCCATCCCAAAGCAGGGCCCTAAAACCTTCCCCATCCCAAAGCAGGGCCCTAAAACCTTCCCCATCCCAAAGCAGGGCCCTAAAACCTTCCCCATCCCAAAGCAGGGCCCTAAAACCTTCCCCATCCCAAAGCAGGGCCCTAAACCCTTCCCATCCCAAAGCAGGGCCTCGCTCCTCCCCAGACAGACCCTGAGTGCAAGCACCCACCCCTGGCAGCCAGCAGGGCTCAGTGCCACTCCTGGGCGTGGAATTCCCTCCCAAACCTCCTGGACCAAGCTGTGGGGGAGAACTGGAGCTGGGAGCAGCCCTGGTGCCCCTGTGCTGGGCTGGGCTCTCCTGCTGCAGCTTCCCTCTCTGCTTCTGCCCCTACATTCCAGCCCCAGCGCTGCTGTGCCACCTCAGGGAGCTCCTGGGAGCTGGGACAGGGAGGGCTGCTGGTAAATGGGGTGATATTTCCATTTTTGAGGAGCAGCAGCACCTCTGGGGTGAGCACAGGGATCTCTGTAGGCTCTTCCAGCCACAGTGTCCTCTTGGGGAAGATGAAACAGGAAAACCTTATAAATATGATTGTCTGGCAAAAGATTGTGAGAATATGGAAACTATAAGCAAGAGTTAAATGAAAGCAAGCTTTGAGATCCCTCACTCACTGAACAACTGGAAAACAATGGTGTGGCCAGCTGAAGGTGATCCCCTTTTGATGGAACAACACCCTCTGCTTGCAGACAGCTCCAGGGGTCAGAGCAGACCCTGCAGCTTGGCTGAAGGGGCCCAAAGAGGAGTTTGTAGGGTTTAAAATGTAACACAGTGTGGGAATGTAATGATTCTTATAGGCTGTATGGAAATGCTATGGGATTTCTATCTTGTACTGGATTGGTTAGTGAGAATCAGAATATTCAACACAGAAGATTTATGGTATTGGAATGGGAACCTCGCTCTCTTAGCTCTTACTCTTACCTCTTGTCTCTTACCTCTTGCCTTTTACACTCTTATGCTTTTACTCTCTCACCCTCTCTGCCCCTCTCTTCTCTCAGCCCTGCTCTGAGCTGTGTCTGGCAGCTCCA